CGCACTGGCCCTCAGCCCGTCCCTCCCCCTCCCTGGGCAAACCTGGTAAGTGCAGTTCGGAAGCTGCTGGTTAAGACCACAGATCCCTGAGCAAATATGTTAATAGTTGCCCAGAGGCTGAGCTATGAACGAGGGCTGGTGAACCTGGGAGGGGGTGTGTGCAGGGAGGTCTCCGCCTGACCACCGGGCCGTCCTGAATAGGCCAGGTTTGTAGGGGCATCTGCACAACTGAGTGTGTACTGGAGCTGGGGCAGACGCAAGGCTGGGGCACCCGTGGGGAGGCCGGCACACCCGTGCGCCTGGCAGTCCGGTCACCTGCGCAGGGGTGTCTGAGCCCATCTCTGGGCCAGGCCACGTGCACACATCCGTGTAAAGGCACAGGCAGGTGCCCTCTGGTACACACTGGGTGATTCTGGAGCATGCAGAGGTGTGGGTGAATCTTGCACACGGTGTCCGCAAAGCCGCGTGCATGGGTTTTGGGGAGTCTGTGTGCAGGTGTGTGGTGTACGTGTGTGAGGCTGTGCACACGTGTGTCCCTCACACCCAGCTTGAATGAGGCCTAGAGGGCTTTAGAGTCAGCGAGACGCGGTTCCCTATCCTGCCCACTCTGACTATCATCCTCTCCAGCGAGCTTTCCTGAAACACGGGATCTTATCATCGCTGCCTCGGGGCTGCTGCAAGACTTTGGAAGGCCACATGTGTAGGCACCGAGTCGAGGGTTACTTCACGGCCTTTGTCATCCCCTCCCTTTACCTTGCCATTCCCCACCCCATATCTGGGCCCCAAGACCAGGCGACACCTGTGGCCCTCCCCCATGACATCCCGGGCAGCCGTGGACTTCATCCCGTACAAAGTAAAGCAACAAGAAAATGCCATTTTGCATTGATCAAACTGGTAAAAACGGGAAAGTTTGATTATAGCGTGTGGGTGAAGAGGTGGGGTGATGGGAACGCTTACCCGTGTTCCTAGGAGAGGACATCCGCATCGCCGCTGCCGCATCGAGTAACTGTAACACGCTAGTGCCCGGTGGGCGGGACCACACACCCGTGTGCGTGCACAAGGAGGAAGAGCAGGGAAAGCAAACTACATACTCATCGGCGTGGACTGGCCCCCCGGACAGTGGTGGGTGGCATAGGGTGGAATGAATTCCAAGAATCCTGTGGCTCGATCCCCAAACACATGAGAAGTTGCAATAGGACACCTGTGGACTGAGCCGCTCGCCGCTTAAAAGAAATGCCGTAAAGCAGTACGCCGTGTGCCCGGCGGACACAGGTCTACGTATTCAAGGGCATGGAGAAAGGTGAGCAAGGACGCACTCCAAACTGACAACTAACTGGTGGCTGTCCCTAAGAGACCGCTGGAAAGGGCACTCTAGCCTTACCTTTTAGGTTTTCATTTTGCTCAAAGAGATCATGTGGTGTATTAGCCATGAATTAAAGATGAACGAGGGATAGAGCTCTGTGAGGCCCGAGGTGTGGCAGTCAGGGGAGTCACGCAGGCTCCTTGTCACACACACCACGTGGCCCTGTTTTCCTGAAGACCAGCTCTCCGGGCAGTCCTGAGTCTGAAGGATGAGGCCCCAACACTCCTCTGTGGCTGCCCCGATTCCCTGCTGGACCCTGCCCCCAGGTTCACCCGGAGCAGCACCGGCCCTGAAGGCCCAGGCGTCTCCCCGGCCCCAGATCTTTGGGGTCCCCACTGCCCCCACCCCATTTCAGGACCCCCACCCAAATCCCCAAGCACAGAGCTCAGCGTGACTCTGGACTGGAAGGGTGGCCTGGGATATTGTGACCTGTGGGGCCAGGGATGGTCACTCTGGGTGAGTGTGGGCCCCAGGGAGATGCGGCCAGGCCAATAACTCACCCTACCCTCACAGCTGCGGCTCTGGGGCCAGGGACTGATCACGGGAGGAGGCCCCAGGAGCCAGCCAGCCCCCATGGGGCTTGTCAGACCTGGGGGTG